AATGAGAAAAAAAAAAACAATTTTTTGTCAAAAAAGAAAAAAAAAAAAAAAAAAAAAAAAAATTAAAAGAAGTGATGAACTCTGAAAAACTCAGTTTGATTATTAGCTGATTTTTATTTTTTTTTTGCAGATCTGGATGCATAAAAATCTGATTTTAGAGGCATTTCTGCTCATATTTAATTTTTTTAATGTTTTGCCACAAAATTTGATTTATTTTTCACTAAACTGTTATTTATTTGTCCTATAAAAACTCAGCTCAGGCACTTTTCCTCCAAAAAACAAAATTAATTAACCTTTCTTTTGTTTTCTATCCACAGTTTACTTCATTTACAATGAGGAAATATGCTAGAAAATACCTGTAAGGATCACAGTGAGGATGGATTCAGCACAGCTTCGGTCTAAACATGTAAATGTTTAAAAATCTTTCAGTTTGATTTGATTTAATTAATGAAGTTAAAAGCAGCCAGCAGTCTTCCTCCTCCTTTAGGATAATTTAAATCAGGAATGAACTGATAAAATCTGAGTCTGCAGCAGGTAAAATAGTGACGACTCATAGCTACTCGCATAACCCCAGGTTATAAAAAGCACAAAGTGTTTTTCATTTTAACTCAGTAAAGTGTAAAATCACCACAGGCTGAAACATCCTGGTCAGATTTACGTTCCTGTCGGTTCATTTATACGAAATGATGCAAATGAACAGATTAACGATAATCTATAACCATAAATTATCAATCTGCTGACATGTTAGCGACATGAAGTTGTTCTGCACACTGATAAACATGACTACTGCAGGTAAGATGGGGACTACTGGCAAGTATCAACTATTTTTGATCTCGTTTTTCTTCTATCCAGACATCAAACCTTAAAACAACTGCAACTTTTTAACATTTCTGCTCATCTTTAAAGATTACTTTCAGGCCTGCAGCCAAACTGAGTTAAATTAATGCTTCATCAGTGGTTAAACGTCAGTCCTCACATTATTTATTATCAAAAAATAACAAAGCCATATAAAGTATTAAGTTAGCATCCATGATGAAGAACAGATTTATAGAACCAGTAGGTTGAAACCAGTTTGCTGTTTCTAGCAGCCAGTCTGCAGGAAAACAAAACCGTTAATTCTCTTTTCATCACTTCTTTTAAACGTTGAATACGACCCAGATGAATTTACTGAAACATCCTCTAGGAAGAAGCACATTTCCTTCACAGTCCAGCGGCAGTAAATACAGTGCACAGGGAGGAGAAGGTGCGTTGGATTTATTCACCTGCAGGAGTTTAAACCACAACAAGCACCTCCGCTTCAAGTTACTGCTGGAAAAACTGAACGAAAAGAGAAAAACCTTCAATAACTTAAGCTTCCAGGCATTTCCTGGAGCGTGAGATTTTACATAAATATATAAATACAGTGTTTAAAGTCTGGTGATGAGGTTTAACACTTCATTCAGGAGGATCCGGGCAGATGGAGTCCGGCTCCTGGCTCTGCTCTCCCTGGGACGTGGCCACCGCCTCGTACTCAGTCGTCGCCGGGCCGCTAGGAGCCTGGCAACGAGAGGAAAACAAGATGATGGCGACTGGAAGGTGGGCGCTTCCTGCAGGGGGCGCCAGAGCAAAAACAAGGGAAAAAAAACAAACAAACCAGCAGCTACTTGAACCCGTCTACCTGGAAGAGCACAGCACAATCCAACTCAGACCGGGTAAATAATCCAGCACCAAACCATCACTCAATCTGCCCCAACAGGCCTTCATCACATGATGATGAGGAGGATCTGAGGGGCGTTTCAGCTCCGTTCATCACAATCAGACAACCTGATTCATTCCAGCCATTCAGACCCAAACATGCTGCAGATTCACTAATTATTGGATTATTATTAACTACCAATAATACTGAGTGATGATAAATGATCCCAGAAATTACAATAAATGATATCGTAATATAGTGATAATAATACAAGTTTGCCCTCTCAAAAACCAATAAACTTACCACTATTATTTGTCCATCTAATTTCCAATCTTGTAATTATTTACCTTTTTTATTCATTTCGCAATTTTTTTTTTTGCATTTAGAATTGTTTTTATTTTCCATCACTTTTTTCGTTGCGCTTATTTCTATTTTTTCCTTATTCTGTATTAATTTAGTAACTTTATAGAACATTTTAAGACCCAAAAAGCTTTTATTGGGACGATTTTGGGTTTTTACCTTTTTTGTTTCTTCTTTAACTAAATCACAGTCAGTCATGTTCAGGTTTGGACAAACGTGGTGAAAATGAGCCAAGAAATCAAATAAAATATAGTTTTTCTTCCCTTTTTTAACCGTTGTGTGTTTATAACTTTCACTGTTCGGTAGAAAATAATCTAAACTTCAGAATTAAAAAAGCAAAAACAAATCTGAAGTGTGGGCTGCACAGTGGCGCAGTTGATGTTGCCGTGCAAGAAGGTTCTGGGTTTGATTCCCGGCCTGGAGTTTGCATGTTCTCCCTGTGCATGGTGGGTTCTCTCTGGGTACTCCGGCTTCCTCCCACAGTCCAAAAACATGACTGTCAGGTTAATTGGCCTCTATAAATTCTCCCTAGGTGTGAGTGTGTGTGTGTGCATGGTTGTTTGTCCTGTCTGTCTCTGTGTTGCCCTGCGACAGACTGGCGACCTGTCCAGGGTGACCCCGCCTCTCACCCGGAACGTTAGCTGGAAACAGGCACTAGCACCTCCTGACCTCAGTAGGGACAAGGGTGTTAGAAAACAGATGGATGTGTATCATAACTTTACTGTTATGACTTCAATAAGGCTGCTTGGTGCAAACCTCTAGAGGGAGGTATAACCACAGAGAAGCACGGTGGTGGCAGCATCATGGAACTGGAATTTCTGCCTTGAAGCAGGATGTGTCACCTCAAGAGAATCAGAACCAGTTTTCTGTTCAAAACTACAAATTTTACTTTGGTTTGTCTTTGGTCTCAACATATTTAGAAAATAAATATTAAAGGTTGGAACAATTATTTTAATTAATTATTCTGACAATTGATACATTATTCTGGTGATTAATTGAATAGTAGATGTTCACATTCTGCATATTTTTCATTTGAAGCCTTTTTTTATATTATTACATTAAAAGATGCAAATAATTCAATTCCTTACATGTAGCTAAAACTATAACACTTGACGATTTCTGTGTTGAACAGATTTATTGATGAAAATGTTTGTCATGTTTAATGCCATATGTTTATTATTTTCGTCCAGTTTGGGTTTAATTACAGCTTTGAGGACAGTAACTAGGCATTTTTTTAAATTTCCAGTTAACGATTAATCGATTACTAAATTAGTTGATTGTTTCAGTTCAGCTCTAGTCTGGTTCATGTTTTTTCTCTAAGATGGTTCCTGTTTTGTAAAATATGTTTAGTTTAAATAGCTTGTTTCTCCTGAACCAGTTTAAATCCTCCTCTTGTTCTCTGGCGGAGGCGACTTAAAGCAACAAAAAGCTCCTTGGTGAGCAGTTCCTGTTTTTAATTTTGTTTTTTTATGTTTTCTCATGAGCTGCACTCCCTTCAGTTATTTTCTGCTATTACATAATTAGTTCTGCTTTATTTTTGAACAGCTCATTGTTCTCCTTTTAGCTTTCGTCTCTGTATCCTTGTCATGACCTCACCCAGCACTCTAGGTCTTGTTTGCCTGGTTTTGCACAGTTTCATATGAACTGGTATGCAGAAGATGCTTCACAGACAGAACGATGAGCAACTGACTGCCTGAGCAGCAGCAAGAAAAATGCTAATGCTAACCAATCCTGACGTCAGCAGGCAGTAAAACATGAAGGCGTACCTCAGACATGACATCATC